AGATGTACAGCATGGCGACTAAAGTTAATAATATTGTATTGCATATATGGAAGTTGCTAAGAGAGTAGATCTTAAAAGTTTTCATCATCAGAATAAAAAATTCCATAAGTAAATATAGTAAGATGTTAAGTAGATTTATTGTCGTGATTATTTCTCAATATATACAAATATCGAATCACTGCATTGTACACTTGAAATTAATATAACGTTGTATGCCAATTATATCTCAATTTAAAAAAGGACCCCCCCAAAATAAAAAAATAAAAAAGGACCCAATCCATATTGTATAAACTTCAAACCCTACTAATCCTGGGTTTCTCCCTGTCTTAGAGTGAACTGTTATTAGATATCATCCTTGGCACCACGAGAATTAGTGAGCATGTGAAAGAAGTCCCAAAAAGATGTTTTCCTCTCTGGTTCACTTTCTTATCCTGGTCTTAGAATGTACTATGCAGCTTGGTGTTTGTGGTAGAGAGGTGAGAAGGTGGGCATCATACGAAACCAGCAGAGCAACTCTTAGGGAAGATTTTTGTCTAGAATGAACATTGACTTTTCTCCACTTTTGTCAGGCACTGGGAAAGGAAGAGGGAGAGAAGCTGGAAAGAAATACTACTCTTCAAAGTCCCAGGAAATGTCAGGCTTGCCTAGCTATTGGCCATCTCTGTGATAATAGCCATTTTCTTGTGTAAGATTTAGGAAATGTTATCAAATATCCTTTTACTAAAACTTTTGCCTTGTGGCATCGGTTATCTTGCCCAAATCTTTCTTTTTCAGTATTTTGAAATAATTTTTATAGTATACAAATGTCGATGAGTAGCAATTATAGGGGTTGGAACCTTCTAGATGTCAGATTCAGACTTATTTTTTTTAAAAAGACTTATTTTTTTGTCTCCATGTGTAGAGAAAACTAGAAAATATCTCTCATTTAGCTTGGGTGAAATAGCAAGCAGTTCTCTTTTGTTAATAAAATCTCAAGAAGAAAAACAAATTTCATGAACTAACATACTCTGATTAGCTCTGAGTTTTATCATAGTTTCTCCCTTCTGAAAAGTATTGAAATAGATATTTAGAAAATGGAAATTCCACCAGAAAAAAATTTTTTTAGTCCAGAAGCTATTTTTTAAAATAGTTTCCATTGGAATTGCTTTGCTGTAAAAAGTTACTGGAATTATTTTTATTTTATGCTGCTAAATCCATTCACTTCTGAGAAGTTTTTCTTTACTCTTCCACCCTCCCCACCCCAATCTGAGTTAGAAGTCTGTTTCCCCTGTTATCCTTCTTCTGTACTAACATTTGAATATTTTTTACTTGGCTTACATCGAGAATTTTGCCAACAACAGTGAATAAGATATCCAATGCTAAGAGCAGTCAGAAAAACACAGTCTTTATAACCTGATTACACACAATTTTTTATGCTTTTAGAAATAATTAGAACTGGTCAATAAGGTAGTAAAAAAATCAGTAAGAAGTGCCTAAAAGCTAAAGAATGAGAAGAATTTTGGCTCAGAAAACTATGAAAAGAAAATAACAGTTATATGCCTGTGCAATTTTTTTAACCTTCCAATCATCTTCTTTGGTACATATGTAAGACTAAAGACTGAGTTGACTCCGTTGTGGTGGCCAGCCTCTGAGATGACACCCCAAAGATCTGTGCCTTCCAGGATACATTCCCTTGTTCAGTGCCCTCCCTTAATGAATTAGGGCCAGCCCCATGTGACCAATAGAGTCTAGTGGAAGACATATTGCATGATATCTGAGACTACATCTTAAGAGGCCTTGCAACTTCTGTCTTTGTCTCTTGGAGCCTTTAGATGGAGAGATCATGTGGAGAGGCCTTGAGATTTCACATAGTGTGGTTTCTGGCAGTCCTCTCAGCTGAGACTCTGCATGTTAGCATAGAAGTTCAGTTGTCCCCATAGAGCCCTGCCTTAATTTCAGATTTGTGAGCAAAGTAAAGAAACTGTTGTTTAAGCTATTATGTTTCAGGTGATTTGTTATGCAGCAATAAATAACTGAAATACTCCTCCTCTCCCTTCTCCTTCATTTATCAAGTGTGTCCTTCATTGAGTGCAGAGTGAGCAAGCATGTGTCAGGTCAACTCAAGAATAGGGACTTTTCCAGCTGCTATTGTCAGGGTAATTGACTTATTCATGATATATATATATATATATATATATATATATATATATATCTTCATGTCTGTCTTCTGAGAAGTAACTATGCCACTTCTGTGGTCAAGACACATGGGGAACCCAGAATTTCTTGGGAACCTGTGGCCAGGTACAAACTCCGCAACTCAACTTAGCTGAACATATCTATTAAGCTGAATATGAAGGGCAGCATTCTATAGAACAGAAGTCAAAAGAGTGTAAGTAGCAGGAAGGGTACAGGCAGAAGGAACAACCCATTTCTGTCTGGACGTTTTGGAGTTGGGACTGCCAGCACATGCTTCCTTTGTAGGACCTGCTCCCCACCCATGTTTGTAATATGAAATTCATCCTTGCAGCTGCAGCCGTTAGACCAAGGGTGTACACTTGACCGATGGAGAACCATTCTATTGTTGATTGGCCAGCAATTTATGTGGTTCTCTTCCTTGAGAATCTGAACTAAGATATAAAGAGATTGTGGCATACTTGGACAGAAAAGCCGTAAGGAATCAGAGTGGGATAGCTGTTCTCAGCCACGTATATAGTGCATGCTGATGGATATGTAAAGAGAGCTGGTTTGCACACGCACGCACACACACACACACACACACACACACGAAAGTGGTGATAAGAATCCATGATGGGTAGGGAGGGAAAAAAGAGAGAGGAGCAGAAAAGAAAGAGTAAGCTAGAGAGAAAGAAAGAGCATGACAGCTCTAGTACCGACTCTGTTCCTTGGCTTTCTAGTCCTCAGTTTTTAAATTTTAATTTAATTATTTTATTTTTTGTCGGGGGTGATGGTGGGATGGGATTTAACAGAATGGGGACTTTATCTGCCCTTTCCTTAGGGTCCCTGAAAAGATCTAGATTTTTGTTTTAGGTTTGAGTTTCTCATTAATGAGTACTTCAAAACTATGAGCCTTTTAGGGATTGTTTCTCTAAAATTAATTTTGTTTGTTCATTAAGTGGAAGAGCATCACTGTGGGACAGAGCTCCCCTAGGCATCAGAAGGCCTAAAGACATATTTCTTTACTTTTTTATTTCAGACGAATCAGAAAGGAATGCATTCAGGGTAGGAGGGAGCATTGAACAATACAGGCTCTGGGTTTTTCTAGTCCCTGATCAACCACTCTCATTGTGACTATGGATTCATCCCTTAATCTCTGTAGACCTGTTTCCCACCACTACACGGTGGTCACAATGTTAACATTCTATGACTATAAAATATCTAAGGGTCTTACTCAAAACATCCTCCCATAGACCTTTCATCTCAGCTGGAAGAAGAAAAAGTATGTATGTATAGGGTAAAGACCCTATTGCCCAAGATCTGGAACTTAAATTTGCAGTAATTTCTAATACTTGAACACATGCACTTTTCTTCCTGATTGGGCAACAAAAGACAGGAAGTGAAAAAGAGAACATTCTTAATGCTCAAGTTAAGTCAGAGACTCATTTAGGACATATGCTAGATGTGAATAAGTGTGGGAAAGTAAAAAGATAACCAAATTTAAACTTGACCTGATTCACATTTGGTGTCCTCCTAAGATGTCAAAATACTGTACTCAGAGAATTTAAGCAACAACTTGCCTTTGGGAGGGGGTGGGACAGAGGGAGAAGGAGAGAGAGAATCTTAAGCAGGCTCCACTCCAGCAGAGCCCCACCCGGGTGGGGGTGGGCCTCCTTCTCACCACCATGAGATCATGACCTTAGCCAAAATCAAGAGTCCCAGGCTTTACCAACTGAGCCACCCAGGTGGTCTTTTTTTTTATTGTCACATAAGCAATACATGTGTATTGTAGTAAACTTGGCCCAAGTGTAACAAATTTTCATAGAGTATATATATATATTTTTTTTAATACCTTCACTATATGTTGGCAAATCGAACTCCAATTAAAAAAAAAAAACCCTTCAGACAAAGTCTATACCACTTGCTCAGAGTTGACTGTTCATCTGGCAATCCTCCACTAAGCTATAAATTGCGCAAGAACCCCTTTGCTATGTAACTCCCCCCCGCCCCCTCACCATATACACACTCTAGTCACTTTCTTTGATAAGGAATATAGAAAAGGTTATAAACACTTCCTTTACTAGCATGCATTCATTCATGAATGCATTTAACAAACGTTTTATCGAGCACCTAGCACGGAGCTGAGCGAGACCTAGGGAATTCAAAGGTACGTGCTCATTTTTTTTGTGTGTGTGGAAAGATACGTGCTCTTAAAGAGAGGCCTTCTGGCCTCAAGAAATTCACATTTCTAATAGGGAGAGAATACACAATTATTTTACTAAGTACTCGTGCAATTTTAGAGTGAGACGTACAAGAATTAAGAAAGCCCAGAAGAGAAGGCAAAAGGGAGTGTGGCTGGGGGAAGTTTCGGAGGGAGCGCCACTAGCCAGAAGATGTTGGGGTTGAGGGGGACGGGGCAGGAAGGGCAAATCACGAATTTCAGGGCCTCTTCCTGTGTCAGCCGCAACTACTGTTCCCTCACCACTTGCATCATAAAACTGAAGCTTAATGTTCAACTAGGGATCCTTCGCGCGCTTAGAACTTAGAAACTGAGAACCAAGGGCAAAAAGACAAGGCTGCAGAAGCCTGACTCTCAACGGCTGGGGAGCCCCAGAGAGTCCCCGGCGGCGCGGGGCGGGGCCGAGGGCGGGGCCAGCGGTGCGTGCGCCGGAGCCCGAGGGCCCGCCCCTGGGGGCTGGCGCCGGAGCGGGCAGGGGATTGGTTGTGTGCCTACGTCGACCTCCCTTCATAGGTCGCGCAGAGCGGCTCGCGGGGCTTTGATTGGCTCACTGGGCGCTGAGTGGTCATTGGCTGAGATGGGTCGTCTGGGCGACTGAGAGGAAAAAGAGAAGGGGTGTTGGGCCTGGCGGGCTGACCCGGGCTGGGGACTGCTGGGCGGTTTCACGGGGCGGGGTCCGGAGAGCTGCGGGGCCCGGGCGTCTGGGGTTCACGCCACACTCCCCAAGAGGTGCCTGAAGGAGCGGGCCGGCGAGGGGTGGCGGTCCGCAAGCAGGGACCATGGGGTGCTTCTTTTCCAACAGGCGGAAGGCTGAGAAGGAGTCGCAGCCCGAGGGCGAGGGGGAGCAGCCGAAGCAGTACAGCTGGGACCAGCGCGAGAAGGTAACCCAAGTCCGGTGGCCGCCGGGCTCAGCCCTCTCGAGAGCCGCTCGACGAGGGTCCCTTGCGGCCCGGGCCGACCCGGCAGCTGCAGCGCTCGCTCGCGCTCTCCTTTCTCAGCGCGAGTAGTCGAAGTCGGGGGGGATGACTTTTTGGGGTGCGATGAGATACAGCGCTGGAGAGGGCGCCACGGGGAACTGTGAAGCGCTGGAAGGGGCCTTAGAGCTCAGGGTCAGAGCCCTGGGCGCTTTCCCTGCAGTCCGAGGGTGGACTCTAGGGGAGGAAGGAGAGCCGTGAATGCCCCGAATCTCAAATCTGCTCATTTCACCGGCAGCGCCCAAGCGGGGTTTGGTCCAGTCCTCGAGTTACACATGGGACCGATTCTCAGCTTTTTTGCCGCTCATGTTCGTCTGTGGCTGTTTTCTCTTTTGTCTGCCCTAGCCGTTGAATCTCTTTGGTGCCTGATGGTATATTCCACTCCTGAATTCTCGCAGTTCCGAAGTGGACTGTCGAACGTACGGCTTTGCTTTTCCTCCTCTTCCAGTTGTACAGAAGGAATAATGAAAATTGAATCAGTGTTGGGACGTATGTCAAGACTGTATGGTGACAATAACCAGCATAAACCAGGCAATATGTGACTATTGTTTTCAATGAATGAAAACGCCCTTCATTTTACTTTTGTATATAGCCAGAAACGAGAAAGCTTTGGGACGTCCACTGGTGTTGCACAAAACACACTTAGTCATAAATTTCATCATGTTTCCTCTTTCTACATAGTTCTGCATTTGTGCTTAGTAAAATACTTTGATACACTTGTCAAGTATTTTTCTTTTCCAAACGAAAAGACTTTTTTAAAGATTTTGTTTATTCATGATAGAGAGAGAGGCAGAGACACGGGCAGGGGAAGAAGCAGGCTCCATGCTGGGAGCCTGCCGCGGGACTCATCCTGGGACTTCACGCCCTGGGCCAAAGTCAGATAGATGCTAAACCGCTGAGCCACCCGGGATCCCCAAAAAGACTTTTTAAATAAACGTTAAGAACAGTTACGTCCTTGCTTAATGCAACATATCTTCACCCATGAATACTTTGGAGTAAAGTTTGTATTCATGTTACGACTTCATAGACCTCCCTACATGACTTTCAGTCACAGGAATGTTATTCATATAAACTAAGTTCTCCAAGTGTAAGCAATGCGAAGCTTTTTTGCAGAATTCTGAGCTGCATCTTTCTTCCTTGTTTTTCAGATCCTTCTTGGGTTGCATGGTATATTTATTGTCCTCTTATATATATATTTGATAGCATCATTTTATTGTGTAGGAATGAAAAATACTGTGCTTTCTGGCGTACAAGAAGTTTGCACTTATCAAAGTTATTTAGTGGACAGTTTTTAAGAGTCATTTCCTCAGCCTTAGTATTTCTAACAATGCTCTTTAATCTTGAACTGGCTGCCATAGAGAAGCTTGTGTATTTGATTTTTATTTTAGCTTTTTATTTTGAAATCTTAGGCTAAAACTAAAGTGCTTTTATTAATTTTTTAAAATTTAGTGTAGTCTCAGTTGCCCTTTGACTCATTACTTTGTAAAAAATGATTTTGTGGTTAGCGTTTATTAACAATGTTCAGGTTAGTCAGAATTGCATATGTCAATCTTTCTCCTTTTTTTAAGATTTTATTTATTTATTAGAAAGAGAGAGATCTCGCACGTGCGTGCGCAGTGAGAGGGGAGAAGCAGAGGGAGAGGAACAAGCAGACTCCAGGCTGAGCACAGAGCCAGATGCAGGTCTTGATCCCAAGACCCTGACATCATGACCTGAGTGGAAATCAAGAACCAGTTGCTCAGTGGACTGAGGCACCCAGGCGCCCCTTTTTCCTTTTAGATACATGGATGTATACTGTGATTTTTTTTCTTTTGCTTTTTGGCTAAGTAAATATATCGAAAAATAGAACAGTGGACACCAACATCCAAACTTTCCCCCCCCCATATGAGCCGTATAGTAAACTTTATTTCTTTTTTTTTTTTGTATAGTAAACTTTCAATTGTAGACACTGTTTTGAGCTTACAAGGAACATTTTGGGAGAACACTAGTAGGGTACTATAGATGTAGAGGTGTAAGACATTATTGGATATGCAAAATGAGCTCATACTTCTGCATATGTGCGTAATCAAAGTTAAAATATTGATCAACTCACCCAATCAGAATTTTTCTTAATAAATGGACATTATATTCTGAAAACAATCCAGTTTAAAAATCTGCTGGACTATTAGAGAAAGAGAATTACTAGCTTACATTTTGAGACAGTGGAGGTACTACATTTCCCAACATTGCTTTTTCTTTTTGTGATTTTTTTCTTTTTTGTTTTGAAATCATTAGGAGTTCACTCTAGGTGTCTCATTTATAGTGGCTAAATTTTATATGATTTTAAATATTTTTTCTAGTTCTTTATCTCTTATGAGGCCAATTTAGGCTAGTGTGCAAATGTTCTATATTAGCCCAGTGGTAATTCTACTGAGTTTAGCATGGTCTTGCTTGCTCCTAGAAGATTTTAGTTGTACCTTAAAAGGAACAGAATGCAAATACAGCCCAGAGAATAGAAGTGAGATATGTTTTAAAGTTACATCAGACAACTACCATTCAACTTTAGATGTAAAAACATAATGCATTGCCTGAAAAGTTTCCTTGCAACTTGGAAAAGTGGTGTTTAAATTTTTCCTTAGGTTGTGTAATCAGAGTATCTTTGTTCAGAGGCACCTTCTGGGTTTTGCGTTTTGAGTTGTGTAATTGGGTCAGTCTTAGGGGACTGAAGCTAGGAGAAATTGTCTCAATTAGAATGTTTGGAGACTAAGTGTTGTCATGGCAACTGATACACTGTAATCAACAGTGTATGAAGCTTATTTTCTATTGCTGCTAACTTGGAAAAAATTAAAAGCTTACTGTACAATTACTAGATTGGCATGAGAAATATTTTGGGGTTGTAAGATATTTTTTAATTTTTAAAAATTTTTAAAACTTTTATTTACTTATTCATGAGAGACAGAGAGGCAGAGACACAGGCATAGGGAGCCTGCAGGGAGCTTGATGTAGGACTCGATCCCAGGACCCCGGGATCATGCCCTGAGCCAAAGGCAGACTCTCAACCACTGAGCCACCCAGCCGTCCCGAATTTTTTTTAATTTAAATTCAAGTTAATTAACATATAGTGTATTATTAGTTTCAGGGTTAAAATTTAGTGATTAATCAGTTGCATATGACACCCAGTGCTCACTCCATCATGTGCCCTCCTTAATGCCTATCACCTAGTTGATCCTCCATCCACCTCCCCTCCCCACCCTCTATTTGTTCCCTATTGTCAAGAGACTCTTAGGGTTTGCCTCTCTCTCTGTTATTACCTTATTTTATTTTTCCTTCCCTTCCCCTTTGTTCATCAGTAAAATTCCACATATGAGTGAAATCATATGGTATTTGTCTTTCTCTGACTTATTTCACTTAGCATAGTACCCTCTAGTTTCATCTGTTTTTAAATCATTTGGACAGAAATGCTTTTATCCTTTTTTGCCTGTATGCTGCCTCTCATAGCTAGGCAACCTATTCAATATATAAGTACTCAGACACCAAGGAAGACTCAAAATTATAAAAATTATCCCTGCCCTTAAAGAGCTGACTGCTTTTATTGAATTAAGACAGGAAATATTTAAGTACAAACAAGGAAAAGATGAGAGTACAGAAAAGTAATTTTCATTTTCTAGTTATTCATACCAATACTCCTCCTAGAAATGAGGATTAGTTCTCTGAACAGTGATGGCATAGGTATAAAAATTGTGAATTTGAGTATGGGCAACACATCTTGTGTCCATTACAATTGTCTCATATTTGATAGAAATAAAACTAAACAAAAGCCTTATGCCAGAAATTCAAGTAATTGCATTTTATTTGCTGTTTCATGACTTTGGATAAAGCAGTCAATTTGCGCATTTCAGGTTCCTTGGCTGTAAAATGGAACAGTGCTAAAGATTTCTCTACTATTTAACAAGGCAAAGCCCTGTCTTGACAAAAAGAGGTTAGACGATAATGGTCACTTCTTTTTTTAAAAAAAGATTTATTTATTTATTCATGAGACAGAGAGAGGCAGAGACACAGGCAGAGGGAGAAGCAGGCTCCATGCAGGGAGCCTGACGTGGGACTCGATCCTGGGTCTCCAGGATCACGCCCTGGGCTGAAGGTGGTGCTAAACCGCTGAGCCACCCAGGCTGCCCAATAATGGTCACTTCTGAAGATAGCACTCAGACCACAGATTGGGGAGCATAGAACCAGTCTTATTATAAAGCAGATCATAAATTCCTGGGGTTGTTCATCAGTGGAAGAAGTGGCTTTGTGAGGAACCCATCTCATTTGTCAGAAGATTCAGACAGAGATTGGATGGCCACCTATTATTCTAGGTATTGATTGCTGCATACCAAACCACTCTCAAACTCAGTGGCTTAGAATAATAGCAAGTACTTATATTGTTTACAACTCAGTGATTTGTGTAGGGCTTAGCAAGGTTGGCTGTCTGGCATCAGATGCAGCAGCTTGACTGAGGGCTAGAGGATCCGCTTTCAATATGGCTTTAATAACAGAGCTAGCTGATAAGTTAATCCTGGCTTTTGGCTAGGGTGAGGGCTAGGGGCCTCTTTTTGTAGCCCAGACTTCTGCACAGTATGATGGCTGGGTTCCAAGGGCAAGTCCTAAGAGACTGAGGGAAACTTCGTGGCTTTTTCTAACTAGCCTCTGAAGTGATGTAGCATCACTTCTGCCACATTCTGCTGGTTGAGGTAGTCGCATATGTGCACCCATGTTCGAGGGGAGGGGACTTTTCATGGGAGGTGTGTCAAAGAATTTGCATGTTTTAAATCTCTTATGTAAAGTTGTTGTTACCGTTTTTTGAAGGAGATAACTAGCTTTTTGTTTTATTCATTTTAAAAGCAGCTTTATCTCTAATCATCAGGGAAATGCAATATAAAAACACA